AAAAAGTCCATAAACTATTGAAGCTTTTTAGTAATTGGTAATCAAATTCACAGAGCATAGCTCTGGTATTTCTATCGGGTCATGAAATAACTTTACTCTCTGACCATTGACTTTGAACACAGAATTGTCCTATGGATTAACTAGGTCAATTGCTCCATAAGGATGGACTTTATGAATGAGAAATGGTCCAGAACATCGGGACTTGAACTTTCCTGGGAACAATTTTAACCTTGAGTTAAACAAAAGGGCTTGCTGGCCTGCTCTCAGTTCTCTTTGTTGAATTCTTTTGTCATGCCATTTCTTTATTTTCTCTTTATAGATTTTGGCATTTTCATAAGAAAGATTCCTATGTTCCTTTAATTCACAAAGTTGGAACTTTCTTTTATTGACAACAACATTTGGACACATTTGATTCTTTGATGGCTCAAAATGCTTTGTGTTCTAGCTCTAAAGGGAGGTGACAAGCCTTACCAAAGACCAACTTATATGGAGACATACCAATAGATGTCTCAAAAGCATTCACGTATGCCCATAAAAGCGTCATCTAATTTGAAAGCCCAATCTTTCTTGTTTGGCTTGACAAATTTTTCTAAGATTCCCTTGAATTCTCTGTTTGAGAGTTCAACTAATCCATTTGTTTGTGGGTGGTAGGCATTTGCAATCCTATGGTTAATGTTATATTTTTTAAGGACTCCACTTAACAGGTTATTTACAAAGTGGGTACCCTCATCACTGATTAGTGCCCTTGGGGTACCAAACCTAGTAAAAATCTGCTTCTAAAAAAATTTAACCACAGTTTTAGCATCATTACCAACACAAGCCATAGCCTCTACCCATTTTGACTCATAATCAATAGCAACTACAATGTATTGACAATTATTTGATGGGGCAAATGGTCCCATGAAATCTATTCCCCAAACATTAAACAGCTCTACTTCTAAAATTCCATTTAGTGGCATTTCATTCCTTTTGGAAATTGAACCACTTCTTTGACATTCATTGCATCTATGTGCAAAATTGTGGGCACCCTTGAAGAGAGTTGGCCAATAAAAACCAGATTGAAAAACTTTAGCTGCTGTTCTTTGGTCTCCAAAGTATCCTTCATATGCTGCTTGGTGGCAATGCTGCAGAATTGCTACCATTTCAGTTTCTGGGATGCACTTCCTTAAAATTTGATTTGCACTGATTTTAAACAAGTAAGGATCATCCCAAAGATAAGATTTAATATCATAGAGAAACTTTTTAAACATATGGCCAGTATAATCAGAAGGTTTTATGCCACAAGCCAAATAATTTGCTATGTGAGCAAACCATGGTGATTTTGATTGTCGCACAAGAATTTTTTCATCAGGGAAGGTTTCAATGATGTCTCTTTCTCCTTTGTCCTCACTAGGTTTCTCTAGCCTAGACAAATGATCTTCAACTTGATTGTCCACTCCTTTTATGTCCACTATCTCTAGGTCAAACTCTTGCAACAACAAAACCCATCTTATCAGCCTAGGTTTAGCATCTTTTTTGGAGATCAAGTACTTGATGGCAGCATGGTCAGTGTATACAGTGACTTTTTTCCCATCAAATATGATCTATACCTCTCAAAGGCAAAAACCACAGTAATAATTCCTTTTCAGTTGTTGTGTAGTTAATTTGTGCTTCATTCAAAGTTTTACTTGCATAATAAATTGAAAGAAAGACTTTCTCTTTTCTTTTCCCTAGGACAGCTCCTACAGCCCAATCATTGGCATCACACATGATTTCAAAAGGTTTGTTCCAGTCAGGAGCAACAACTACTGGTGCGATTACTAAAGCTTTCTTCAAAGTGTTGAATGCATTTCTACATTCATCAGTGAAATCAAATTTTTGGTCATGCTGCAAAAGTAAACACAAGGGTTTTGAGATTTTTGAAAAGTCTTTAATAAACCTTCTGTAAAACCCAGCATGACCAAGAAAACTTCTTATTCCCTTAACGGTGATTGGTTCATGTAGCTTTTTAATAACTTCAAGTTTAGCTTTGTCTACATCAACTCCTCTTTTAGAAATCAAATGTCCCAAAACAATCCCTTCTTTAACCATGAAATGAATTTTTTCCCAGTTTAGAACCAAATTAGTCTCTTCACATCTTTCAAGACTCCTTTTTAGATTTTCCAAACAATTATAAAAAAATGAGCCATAAACTGAAAATTCATCCATAAAGATTTCTATGGACTTTTCAAGCATGTTAGAAAATATGGATATCATGCATCTTTGAAAAGTTGCAGGAGCATTGCAGAGTCCAAATGGCATTCTCCTAAAGACAAAAGTACCATAGGGACAAATGAAGGTGGTCTTTTCTTGGTCCTCGGGTGATATGGCTATCTGATTATATCCCGAGTATCCATCCAAGAAACAGTAATATTCCTTTTCGGCCGACCTGTCCAACATCTGATCAATAAAGGTAAGGGAAAATGGTCTTTTTAGGTGGCTTTGTTTAGCCTACGGTAGTCCATGCATATTCTCCATCCTGATACTATTCTAGTGAGGATGAGTTCATTTTTGTCATTGGTGACATCTGTAAACCCTCCCTTCTTTGGGACACATTGGATTGGACTAACCTAAGAACTATCGGTTATTGGAAAAATTATTCATGCATCTAGCCATTTCAAAATTTTCTTTTTCACTACCTTTTTCATGACAAGGTTTAATCTTCTTTGAGGATCAATAGACTTGAAGTTCTTGTCATCTAGGATGATCTTATGTTGATAAATAGAAGGACTAATCCCTTTTAGGTCAGCAATGGTCCATCCTATAGCTTTTGTGTGTAACTTCAACATGTTTATAAACTTCTTTTCTTGATGTAAGTCTAGGTTAGATGATATGATGACAGACAATTTGCCTTCTTCTCCTAGAAAATCATACTTCAAATGAGATGGGATTTGCTTCAACTCCAGGTCAGGTGATGAAATTATGGATGGGGTAAAGTTTTCTTGCTCATTATTTTCCAACAACTCAAATGCTGCAGCATCTATGGGACAACATCATCTCCTAACCCCTCACTAGTCTCTTCATCTATCTCAGCACTATCCTCATCCTCTAACTTACAAGCCTTCCTAATTCCTTCCTTATGACACATTACCTCTATCTCAGTTATTCTTGAGCATTCTTCCAAGTAATCATGGTACTTTAAGGAATTAAAGACATTGAATGTGACTTTCTGGTGTTGAAGCCTCATAGTTAGTTCTCCTTTTTAGACATCAATCAAAGTTCCGCCCGTGGCTAAGAATGGTCTCCCTAAAATGATAGGAATGTCCTTATCAGCCTCAAAATCTAGAATGATGAAATCAGCTGGAAATATGAACTTGTCAACTTGAACTAAGACATCCTCAATCTTACCTTTTGGATAAGCAATGGTTATGTTGGCCAATTGCAATGTGACAATGGTGGGTCTAGCTTCTCCTATGCCTAAGGTGTTGAAAACAGACAAGGGCATGAGGTTAATACTAGTACCTAAATCACACAAAGCTTTTCCAATCTTCTTTCCACCTATAGAACAGGGAATAGTGAAACTTATCGAGTCTTTAAGCTTAGGAGGTATCTTGTTGGTTAGAAGCGCAATACATCCTTCAGTAAGAGCTACAATTTCATATTCGGTCAGCTTTTTTTCCTTACTTAAGATGTCTTTGAGGAACTTGGCATAAACTAGGCATTTGCTCAATTGCTTCAATAAGAGTTATATTGATGTGCAATACTTTAGACACTTCCAATAATTTCTTAAATTGCAATTCTTCCTTTTGATTCCTTAACCTTTGGGGAAAAGGAACATAAAGAGGAACTGGTTTTATGATAAGTTTATTTGACTGTGTTGAGCAAGATGGGTCCAAAATGCCTAGAGTCTTGGTCTTACTTTCTTCAGGTTCAAATAGGGTTACAACCTTGGTCGTTGGACCTATTATAGCCTCATCCTCAATTGGATTTTTCCTAGAAACTTCTTTTGTAATAATAGATGATAGTCTGACCTAGGAGGAACAAAAGTAGGGACCAAAGATGATTGGTTCTCTAATGGTTTTGGTGGATTTTCAGTAATAGGGGCCATAGGTGTAGTCTCAGGTTTTGACACAATTTGTTTACTTTCTTTTGGTATGGTCTCTGTTAATTTCTTCCCACTCCTAAGAGTTACTACCTTCATATGCTCCTTTCCTAGATCTCTAGGGACTTCTGTGTTACTAGGCAAAGTACTAAGGGCTCTATTGGTCTGATTAAGTACAAGTTGACTAACTTGAGTTTCCACGTTTATGATAGCAGCACTTTCCTAATTAAAAAAAGACTGATTTTGGGTCATCATTTGCTGTTGAGCTTGAGACTGAGCCACCAATCCTTTTATCATAGCTTTCAAAGAAGATGATGATTCAGAATGTGGAGGTGGTTTGTTTTGAAAAGATGGTTGAGCAGCTTGAAAATTATAGTGATGATGATTTTGAGAGCTAGAACTGATCGCATGTTGTTGAGGATGAAAATTAGAGTTTCCTTGTTGCTTATGAACGGGTGGATTCAAACTTGGACAGTTCCATGAAAAATTTAGGTGTTGTCTCTAGCTGCCATTGTATGTGTTGGAATAGGGATTTGATCTATTATGAACATAATTGACAGCTTCAGATTATGTGGGTAAAGTTCATAAGAATTTTCCCTTGACAAAAAACACATTGCACTGAGAGGACTGCTGGAATAGGTGTAGTAACAGTTGGCTACACTCATTGGCCAGAAGTTAGGTTTTTAAGCATGTTGGTCATGGAAGAGAATTGTGCTGTTAATGCAGTGTATGCATCTACATCATGAATTCCGGTTGTCTTCTTTTGCGGTTGAGCATGTGGATCAGCCTAGTGTCCATTGTTTGCAGAGATCTTTTCAAGGATTTCATACCCTTCATTGTAGGTACTAGCTGTAAAGGCTCCTCCTGCAGTGCATCGAGCATCTGTTTAGCCATGAGACTTAACCCATTGTAGAATGTCTCGAGTTGAATGCAGTAAGGAATGCCATGATGTGGGCATTTTCTTCACGGCTCTTTAAACCTCTCTCATGCATCAGGAACAACTTCATCATCCATTTGTTTAAAAAGACAAATTTCAATTTTGGACTTACCGTTCCTGGTGGGTGGAAAATATTTTTGCAAAAAAATTTCAGCCATATTGCCCCCATGATGTTACAGAACCTGGTGGTAATAAAATAATGAAACAAAGTAAGTCTTAGAGCATCGTTAGACACTCCCAGGACCAAGAAGCATCAGTAATTTCCATGAAATATTTTAGATGTGAATGAGGATCTTCTGATGGTAATCCTACAAATTATCCATTTGTTTGCAACATATGGAACATGACCGGTTTAATCTCAAAATGGAGGGCAGTCATATGAGGTCTAACTATCCCTGAATTCAATTGTTCAAAATCAGGAATAACGTAGTCTATGATTTTTCCATTTCTAGAGTTTGCAAGATTAATTATATTTGGATTTTGAGCTTTGGATGATCATTATTTTCAGCTTCCATGTCATTATGTGCATCTTCAGGATTTGGTGGCCCTTGTTAAAAAGAATGTCCTGGTGGGTTTGGAAAAAGTGATGCATTTGGTAGAAAAGGCTGAAATTGTGATATTTGACTAAAGGTTGGTGGATTTTGAATTAGTACTTCTTCGTCAACAGGGGGGGAGTAACGCCATATTAGGAGGGAGTAGAGCAGAATTTGCTATTTATGCCCTTCTTCTTTGGCGGAATGTTCTCCCAATATCCGGATCGAATTCGAGAAACTCCCTGTGGTGTATCCATGGCATACACCTCTTAAAAGCGGATCAAACGGTGCTAGAAAAATCAAATCTTTAAAGTTACTTTAAAAAAAATTATAGCTTGCCAATCCCCGGCAGCGGCGCCAAAAACTTGATCGGGTCCGTTTTCACATACCCACAGACTTATAACCAGGACCACTAGCAAGTATACAATTAGTCTCAATATGATTTTTCAAGTAGTCCACATGGATCGTAGTAAAAATTTAGATGAATGTAATATTAAGGAAATGATTTCAGAGGGAGAATTTGAAGACTTTGGTTTAATAAGAGTTAACACAACTAAAAATTAACAGAAAATAACAGATAATAAAGGCAAGCCAGGGTGTAAGACTTAAGGTGAGACGTAAATACTATTTCCAGTAAACCAATGTTGTCAAAATGCTATAGCATGAGATCATGCTGACAAATTTGCTACAAAATACAATTAGTAGCAACTATTTTCACCATTTATTTTGAAGGTATTACTCTCGAACTTCACCAATGCACTGATATTATAGCTTTCAACCCATATCTCTATAAGGTATCTGGACCAGTGAAAGTGACAAATGGTGTCCTCAAAATATATGGATAAACAAATCTCTTTGTTAAAAATCATCCTCTCGAGTGGATTCCCATATCATTCAAGTTGACGTGTTCTGATTGGCTCATCTCTGAGTCCATTCCACTTTAACACTTCAAAGTGATCAAGCTGTCGAGAATTAACAATTTAGAAAATACGGATAACAAATCTCTTTGTTAGCAATTTTCTCAAATCTACTTCCATATCATCCAAATTGACATGCAATCAATGGCTCAGCTTAGAGTCCATGACAGTTTAACACTTTTCAGTGATCAACTCGTCAAGAAGTGCCATTGATTTTATAAAACTTGAAATGAAATAATGAAATATTGTTATTACATAAAAAGGTCTACCTTATTTTGATTTACAAACTCACCCTTTCCGTCATACACCCGAGCTAAAAAATTTAGCTACTCATGACAGAAAATAAATTGCAAGAAAATATAAATTGCGGTAAATAAAGACAAAAATAAATAATGAAAAGTAAATGACGGAAAATAAAATGCGGAAAGCATAATAAATAAATGACGTAAATTAAAGAGCAAGAAAGCGTAATAAAATAAATGACGGAAAGTAGATAGCGGAAAATAAAAGGCAATTAAAGGAAAGCTTGAGATTAACCAAAAGATTATTTGTATTTCTAGAGAGAGAAAGTATTCTACAAGCAGTAAGACAACTACTTGAGAATTAGATGGGATGATCTAAATATTAACCACAAAATCTCTATTTATACTAAGGTAGAGATGAGGGCAAAATAGTCTTTTCACATTTAAACTGGACTTAAAGTAACTAAAAGTACAATAAAGTAAATATTTAAAGTCTAATGTAAACAAATTAGCCAACAACTTTCCAACTAATTAAAAAATAAATAACTGTTCAAACATAAAATGTCATTCAAAAGTCAGCTATGGTCATGTCAGTCAGCATCATGTCCTCTCTCTTCTATTTCTTCACAGTCAGGTCTAGCTGCAGCATCCCTGCAGCATCAAGCAGCTTCAAACTGTTAAATCCATATTAGTCCATTATATAACAAAAACAGGTAAATCATTCATCTTAGCTTCATAACAAAGAAGTGGAAAATAAAAGAATAAAATGACTCAATGTTGAGATATAAATAGAAAATGTCTTATCTAAAAGAGAAGAAAATAGTGTTCAAGCATTATTACGTATCAATGAGCAATTGTCAACATTTGACCAATATGTGATAATATCCTTCTCAATCTGATGACCAACCGAGGTCCTTCAATGCTACTAGATATTTTCCATATGTAAGGAGATTTTTTTGAGCTGACTTAGCAGTCGAGACTAGCAGAAGGACTTAAGCCCGTCTACTTTAGGATTCGAACTTGAGCAAGTCGCTCCAACCCTTTGTCAACTCAGGTACACGTCTAGAGACTTTTCATCACAATAAAATTTAACACCTTTCTCACCCGAATGTAGGTGTTTATCTACCAGAATCAGTATTCTTACATGGGTAACTCTACGTGGCGTTGTTCAAAGGGATATCACTGGGCAATACGAAGGCGTTAGCGAAACTTATGAAAACAATTCAATCGTGCCGGAGTCTACACCTCAAACGTCGTCTATCAAGAAGTTTTACATGATGAATAAGGTATAATCAACAATTATATTATTACACATTTGGTACCATTTGTTTCTATTAAAATCATTGCGTCGTTTTTTGCATGAAATATTTACGAATGAGTACATCATGAAAACTAAACAACAATTTGGATATACGAATGAGCATTATTTACAAATGATTGTATTTTTTTTGTTTAGTCAAGAATTTCAAGTTTTGTAATGAATTATGAGTATATGGGTTTAGAAACCCAATACGTGTGCAATTATTTTTCATTTGATCTTGCTAATACACCATATTAATCTTCATCTTTATATGTTAGTTGGCTTGCAAAATAACCACACAAACTCATGATTCAAGGCTAAAATAATGTTTCAGAATTGTGATTCACCCGCGCTGTATCGAACGGGTACACCACTAGTACATATTTACATATAGAGGAAGGATCATGCAAAAAGTTAAACATTTTGTGAGAAGTTGAGAAGTTTCAATATTATATAAGTGACATTACTGTTGGTCTTTATATGTTATCAAGGTAAGATATGTTTTATTATATATGATTAAGCTTGTGATTATGCTTGTAAAGCATATATGATACTAAAACTTTTCGCATTCTCACAATATGTTTAGCTTCTAGTTTGAACCTATCCCTATACATATATATGTATAAATGTATATAGATTGTGCCCCGATAAAAATAAAAGTTATGGTGAGAAGTTAAGAATAAAAACCTTCATATATGTTCATATACCTTCATCAACCTTCATTTACCTATTTTTATCACAATAATCGAAACTTTAACAAATTATGTATATGAAAATGATTAATGTATGTAAAAGTCATTGAAAGTGAATATAAATGTGAAAATAAATGTAAAGGTTAAATGAAGATGAAGGTAATTGAAGATGAAAATGAAGTTAGACCAAAGGCTCAAAAATTTCTCATAATAACTGTTAATTTTACATGATTCCAAGTATATATATATATATATAGAGAGAGAGAGAGAGAGAGAGAATCGGGTTTATACGATAACTGTAACCAAATAAAAGAAATTCATGGGACACGTCGCTTACACACCTTGTGTTGATTGTTGGTGTAAAATCACATGTGATTCTACAAGTGATTTGGATGTTTCGTGTTATCTCATTCGGTTATTGTTCTCATTTAAACCTCCTTGTATCCATAGGTCCAATCAAATGAGAACTCAGTAGCTTGTGATAAACAATGTGATCCTACTTTAGCCAATCAATTACTGGTATTAATTTATATATTTATTCAATTAATAAAGGGTGTATTAATGATTTTAGTAATTAAAGAAATCATATTTAATTTTTTTTATTTTAGTAATCATCTTTTATTAGGCAATTGTCTAAAATATCTCAACTAAATTGATTTGTATTGATTTTTTTTTTTTTTTTGTGTTTTCTTTCTGTTCACCCTCAAAACATTCACTGGTCACAAAATGTAGCATGGTATCATAATTCAATCCTTTGCAAGGGAAAATCAGAAAAACACATCCGTAAAAAAGCCATGAAAGTCATACCCAAGGTATGGAAACGACTCATCCTCACTCTCATTGGAAAAACTCATCGAAAAATCTCACTGAAAATCGTCCCTATTGGTATTCTTATGAACAACAAGATGCTCGTCCGTATCCTATGGCTTTGCAATCTGCAGATCGAAGGAGACGGGATCATAGTGGTGGGATCGCCCCTATTTGGCCTCATTAGCTTCACAAAAACGGATCTCGTCTCAACTCATTGGGTATCATTGAGGGTGCGTTTGGTGTGCGGACAGGACAGGACAGCTGTTCAGCGTTTGGTAAGACAGGACAGGACAGGTTAAAATGACCAATTTACCCCCAGTAACCTGTTTAGTGTTTTTTTTCACTAAATAATCAATATAATAAATGCTTACAAATACTATTTAAAAATACCAAAAAATTTCCAAAATCAATCGTAACTAAAAACTCACATTAATAAATCAAAAGATTTAAACATCATATTCATAAACAAAAAGTGAAATGTTTACCAACAGACTTAAACACAAAAGATCAAATGTTTACAATTGTGTACCAAAAGACTTAAACACAAGAGATCAAATGTTTAGCAACCAACATCACATGTCTAACTTTTTTAATATAGTAGCCACAAATTTTGGCT